CGACTGTATAGCAGACTGACTTAAAGAAAAAAGCAAAAAGAAAGAAGGAGAGTTAGGAAAGTTCTGGATATGGTCACTGAAGTAGACTAGTAATGATGAAGTTGTGGAAGTGCAAAGGTGATGTCATGGGGTGTTTCTAAAAGCTAGTTTGACACACACTAAACAAGATGAATAGAAATTTCCAGAAACTAGAGTGTACTGTAGATATGTCTCTTGCATGTGCATATGAATATGTTTATGTATGTGGGAGTATGTGTGTACACTGTATATGTGTGTAGAGACGAGAGGTAGAAGCCAAGTGTCTTCTTCAATAACCTCCATCTAATTTTCTTTTGAGACAGGGTCTCTCCTTGAACGTGAAATTCCCTGAGATACACCATTATGCCTGACTTATGTTTTGTGGATTCAAACTCAAGTCCTCAATTTTGCACAATCATTACTTTACCCACTGAGCCATCTTCCCATCCGTTAGATACTACATTTTAAAAATAAAATCAAGGTGAAGAAAACAAGGCCTATATAAATTAAATGATGTATTTAGGGTATCAGGGATGACATTCATATCACTAGAAAACATGGTATAATTCACCTACTATCTTTTTATATCATATATAACCTGTACATATGTTGAATGCAGAATACTTTTAACTTCTTATACACCAAATGTCTGTGAAGTTAACCCAAACGCTACCTTTGCTTTTATTATTTTAAGTGAAAAATACCCAGAGAGATCCTTATTAAATGGACTGTATATGCATAAAATATACATGGAGGTATCTTCAAATATAGCATGTGGATGTCTTCATTTCTTCCCTCTCTGCTCTTTTAAAAATGCCCCTTTAAAAATTTCCCACTCACCATCTGTTAGGTAAATTTCCTAAAACACAGTAAATGTGGAGGCAGAGATTTTCAGAGATGATTCCAAATGGCAGTGCTACCTATATTTATGTGATTTTAAAGAGTAGGTTAGAGTTGCTTCAAAAAAACAAGTCCCCCACCTATAGTAACACACACCCTATAAATTGATCTGAGAGAGAGAGGGAAAGAGAGAGGGGGACAGAATGAAGATAGGCATCTAAGTATATAAAGTAGTCTCCTAAAGGCTTAATATTATATGCAATTCAGTGAATGGAAGAAAACCATTGAAAAACTTGCAAATGAATTTCATTTATGGTACAAAGTTCATAGGCTTAGATTTGTATTATTATACTCAATGAGGGTACAATATTGCAAGCTAGTTATTTCTGAAAAAAAAAACTGTACAAGTACACACAGATAGAACAGATGCCATGCAGTTCTGTGCCTACATCTACAGCCTAGATCGTATCAGTGCACGCACGCACACACACACACACACACACACACACACTCACACACACACACACACACAGTCTTCTGTTAGAATCAGGATGTAAGTCAGTGAAAGAGGAGCTTTCATCAGCAACTATCATCCTCTACACTGTAATGTCTCTTACTTATGGCTATAAAACACTGTTCAGGAAAGATTCATCTTTTGGCCACCACATTATGTAACCTCCCCACTTAAGCCATCCCTATCCTGTGATTAGTATTTAAAAATATGTTACTCCTCGTCAGTAATAATTTATTTTTAATCTTTCTGAGCATTAAGAGAGTATTATTCTGCCCAGGCTTAGGAACAAATCTCCAGAAATTCCTCCCCAATGCTTCTTTGAGGCTGAAAATGCATCACAGGACAGTTGCTGTGATTTAATTCTACTTGGCAGAGCCCTGGCCACAAGCTAATTTCATTAGCCTCAAACTCCTGGATTTGAAAGACCTACGAGATCTGATTCTTGTTCTCATACATGTCATTTGCTAACCTATTCAGGAAAGATACAGGAGAGAGGGAGGGAGGATGGAGGGAGGGAAAGAGACAGACAGACAGAGAGAGAGAGAGAGAGAGAGAGAGAGAGAGAGAGAGAGAGAGAGAGAGAGAGACATTTTCCCGTCCTATTTCTGGCCTTGCACACCAGTAAGAGAAGAATTCCGAGTCAAAGGCAGTATTTACATCTGAGTAGTCATCCCTGGTTTTGTCTGCATTTTACAGTTTCCACCCTGGCTATGCTGGCAGTAGGAGCATTTGTTGTATCTCTGACTATCTCATTACTTCCTCCTGGCCCCCAGCACTCAGCATCCCCTCATTTAGTCTGTAAGTATCTCCTCCCCCAGGCTACAAGCTCATCTCACTATAAATTCATATCTCAAGTGATCAGTTTGGCATGGTCCCCACAGCCACCCACGAGGAACAGAGCAAAGAAGAGAACTCAAATCACTGTAAAGCTCAGAATTCAGTCATTTGGAGGAGTTTATTTTATATAGGACAATTTTAATCGAACAGAACCCTGTGGTCCCACGGGAGATTTGCCTCCTCACTTTTTCCTCTTATTTGAAGGAGTCCACTGTTATTCTATCGTTATTCTCTTTAATCATTTTGCAGGTTGACAGAATCTAAAAAACTGGTGGAACGTGCAGGCTAAAGGCTTCTGAAACCACATGCAAAAAAAGGCCACTAAAATGTATCTATGTGAAATAGAGACAGAGACGTATATTATGATATATGTTCATATCTGTGCACGTGTATGCACAGGCTCTTGCACACACACACACTCACTTCCACATGGGGAATGGCCAAACAAGGATGCACACTAACTGCTATGCCCAGCTTGCAGCACAAGCCACAAGTTGGAGCAGCCCTTTCACTAGCAGCCTCTTTTCAGCAACTGCAGGTGAGAATCAGGGCCTCTTTTGCCTCAGCTCCACAATCCAACATGAATAGCAGCAATTTGCAAATTAGAGGAAAATGACAGTGTTTTCTCTGAATGGTTTTAGTCCCAACCCACAGTGCTCACACTGCCATTAGGTCCCATCCTTTTCCAGCCCCGAGAATGGGAGCCTGGAAAGAACACCAGCCATTTCTTTCTTTGGAAGTTGCCTCAGTTTTAAATGCTACTGAAGAGAAATCAGCTCCCCCTGGAGTCCTTTGCACACTGTCCCTAACTTCATCTGCAATGACTTTCTTAACTTGAATATTTCACTCTGCAGACACAGGCCCAACTGGGATGATGCCCATGCTCCCATTGAGGAGAAAAGCAAAGAAATAATACTAAAATGCTAAGCCCAGAATGTTCAGCCCCCCTTCAAGGGTTGGGAGGACCACCCCACAAGCACACACACTAGAAATTCTCAGGTATTGTCTCTGCTCTTCTCTTCACCTTTTCTGCAGCTGCCATACCTACCCCCAAGTTGTCCAGCTTCAAGCTTGGAGGTAAAGGAAACTCTGTTGAGTTTTCATGACAAAAGCCCCGGGGCCCTTTCCGAATACAAGCAACCCAGAGTTGAAGTCTGCCCTCAAATCACTTTAAGGGAGTGCAAGCAGCAAGAAGTCTCCATGCTGACACAGTCAGGAAGTATCAGGGTGCTCCAGTGCTCAAAGGGGATTTGCTGGCTTCAGTTGAGCACATCCAAGGTTTGACCACAAACTTCCCACTCCTGGAGATGAGGCAGGTTCTGTGTTGGCCTGACTGTCACCAACAAGCCTCTCACAAAACTCACACCCTTAGGAGAAGAAATATGTGAGCAAGAGTCACTTTTTAGACTCAGGCAGCACAGTCCTGATGGGATCATCTAGCACAGCTAAGGGAAGAGATTGGCTGGATTTGGCTACCACCAAACAGGCCGCAAGCCCTGGGAAAGGAGAACTGACTTGAGGCAAGAACTTGGGAATGAGGAAACAGGCTGAGATGGGGCCATGGGAATGGAGTAAAAAATGAAAAGATAACCAAACAAGTAAACAGAAAGAAAGAAAGAAAGAAAGAAAGAAAGAAAGAAAGAAGCAAACACGGAGACCTCATCACCAGAGTTCTCCAAACTCAATTTCTAACACCCAAAGCCACCCATTTCTACTTAGTGCAGCAGAGGAGACAAGGGGACCGAGGCTGCAGGGACCAGAGGCAGAGCACTGCGGTTGGACCTACTGCTCATCAGTACTACATCCGCCTTCCTCCCTTTTGGAACCCAGGACGTGAGAACTGCATGCCCTCACCTCCCCACCCAAGAACACCCCACTGCTCCTGGGCAGAGCAGACTCAGTCTCCCAGCTGAGCCTGGGATTTGGGTGTGGGGTTGCATTAGTGAGGGAGGGAGACTAGGAGCAGAGGGAGCAGTCAGTGAAAGCGATTTTATTTCGCAGTTAGCATGAGCTCATCCCCAGCTGAGGTTTGAAGTGGCAGCAGAAAGCTAGCTGATCGCCCAGCTCCTGCCACTGGCCGGACTGCAAAGGCAATTTAGGCGGTGCACGAAATTGCCAGGAGGAAACCAACTCTGTGGGGATCACGTCAGCAGGCGGGGTCTCCCCAGTGGGGCGGATACCCCATGCCTCTGATGGAGACCGGCTACAGGTCGAAAATTCAACCCCAGAGAGATGGGCAATTAACATCCACATGCCGGCAAACCCCAGCCCTCAGTTGAAGAAGGGGCTTCTTGAGGTCTTCGCGAATATTTCCGTGGAGTCGAGGTTTCCTAGGTGGCTTGGGCATGGGAAGTAGGGGAGTTGAGAAATGCCATTTTTCAAAGCATCTTCTCATTATTTTTTTTTATATATATATTCCGTGTGCCTAACCTGCTCCCCTAGGAGCCCAGGCAGTTTTACAAGCCTGTTTCCAACCATATTTCACTCTAATGCAAACCCATTTAAATCATCGCCTTGTTTTTCCGAAGATTGCTTCTTGTAAATGGGACCATAAATCCGGGGAGTCAGGTCAGATGGAGTGGAGCATGGACAGGGGAAGACATAAAAGAGGTGTAAACTAAGCAAGGAAGATACCTCCTTGGGTGGGGTGGGAGGGATTCGGCAGGATCTTCAGGGAAGAAATGCCGGAGTGCTGGCCTGACCCCTGCAACCCACGAAGTCCAAACCAGCCTTTAAGGTTAGAGCGCAGGGAGCCACAGAATGCTCCTCCCCAAAGGGAGCGCCCCCCTACCTGGAAAAGCCTCAAGATGTTGGCTACCATGATGGAGACTGAGCTCCCCGAAGCCCCAATCACTCCAACTACTTTCTCTGGCTTGACGAAAACCGGGGGCTCGCCGTTGGTGCAGCGCACGTCGGAGGTGTCCTTCTGGATGAGCGCCTGGACGAAAGTGAGCGACTGTTCGAGCGCATAAGTGTCCCTGGAACAAGTGTCCAGGATCCGCGCGCCTAACGTTACGTTGGGCAGCAGGTTGGGATCGCTGTTGATTTGGTCTAGGGCATAAAGCATAGCTTCCAGCCTGTGGATCCCGTTCTCCCTCTTGATGTCACCGCAGGGCACTCCGCTGGGACCCTTGGCGTGCACTGGGAACAGCCCCCCAAGGGTGACGTCCCCCTCGATCCGGATCGAGTGCGGGGCGTACATCTCCTGGCCGCGCGCCGCCGCCGCCAGCACGCACAGGAGCACCTCCAGCACGCAGCAGGGGAACTTCATCAAAGTCAGGACGCGGAGCAGCTTCCCCAGCTGGACCATGCCGCTCCTCCGGATGCTGCTGCGGTGGCGGCGGCGGCGCTGGAGGGAATGCTGGTGGGCTCTCCCAGGTCGGGGCTTCTCGAGGTGAGCTCCTTTGGGGGAAGCCCGGGGACTTCTCTAAAGCACAGAGGGTGGAGGAGCCGGAGGAGGTGCGGCGGGAGAGGATGGGGGGTCCCAGGGGGCCAGCCAGCCTTGGGCACCTGGCGCTGTGGCTCTGCTGGCCCGCGCACCGAGCTTGCGCTCCCTGGCTTGCGGCTCGCGCTCTCCAACAGCCAAGCACTGGGGAGAGGGCAGGGATTGCTATCGCTTTAAATGGTCGTTGGGCTCCCTCTCCTCCTCCTCCTCCCACTCCCTCTCTTCCCTCCCTTGCTTGCTATCCATCTCTCCCCACCCTTCCAGCGCCCGCCCTCCCCACCGGTTTGCATCATCACGCAGGGAGGGGCTGCGTGCTGAGGTAAGGGGGGTGGAGGAATGGGTGGGTGGCCCGGGAGCAAGGAGGTTGCCTCTCCATGGGAGTTTCGTTGGTCCCCAGGGAATCTGTGGATTTCAGGATAACAGTATGCCAAGCTAAGCTCTTGTCCCCAACTCTGGGATGGAAGCTTCTGGTCTACCAACACCCACGCCCACGTTCTAGGAACCGCAGAGGTACACTTGGGATGAGGTGGGGATATGAGGGCTGACTGATCCGGAGCCCCCAGACTGAGACTTTGATCTTAGCTCTAGCAGTAAGACAGGGAGTCCAGAAGTGGAACAGTTAGTGAAAGGGGGCGGGAGGGGGGACCCCAGTCTCTATGACTGGCCCTCTTGTGCTAGCTTATGCTCAGAAAAATACAGGACATTCAGTAGCCTGATTCATGACTTAACCAAACAGCTTCTCCGGGAGCAAGCACCCTCTAGCTTGGAGGAAATCTGAAGCCAGGAGGATAGCTAAGGGACAGTACTGCAATCTGGATCTTCCTAAGGGCCAATACTGGCCAAACTAACTACCTTCTTCAGCAGGTCTGCTGCAGAAACCCAGGGTCCAGTCAGTGCCTTTTCTTTGCTTTGCAACAAGAGAACAACTGAGAACTCCAGCACTTACCTCCCTAGCGCTGAGAGGTATAAGGCTCCCTCTTCCCTATTTCCAGAGATACTTCTGGGTTGGTGACATTTTTTTCTCTCCTGGTTAGGAAACAGCAGGAAAGAGGAGATGGTAGGAAGAAGAAAGGGGAGCTGCAGAAACCTCCTGTAAGACAAGGGATGTTATTTTCTCTTTCCCTGCAGGGACCTGGGGAACAAAGCCAGGATGGCAAGGCAGGTTCCAGTGCAGTGCCTCCTGTAAGGTACCCCCACTGAAACTTAGTCCATTAAAGCAACAAGTGGAATTAGCTTTGTTACAGAGGAATTTAAAATTTCTCTGGGACCTTCACTCAACTATCGGTGATGCTTTTGCTGAAGTGTGTAAAAGCTATATTATATAGATTTGAGGGCGGAGAGAAGGCCAAAAAACAAAACAAAACAAAACAAAACAAAAAACAAAAAACAAAACCAGAGACTATGCTTTTGTGTTGTTGATGGGAAAACTGTCACATACAATGCTGTTACATTGCCTCCACCAGCATCTACCTGTGTGTGCTGTCCTGGGCATTTCAGTGCCTCTGCCTGTGTGAGTTTTAGTTTTCCCATCTGGAAAATGATGAGATTGAGTTGGATGCCCTCCAAGTTATCTTTTAACTCAAATCCTTTGTTAAAATAGGCCATGTCCCTTTGGCTATGGTGCTCTTTTTAGGCCAATAGTCTCTGTTGCTTTATGCTTAGGAAACCAGCACAAACATCTCCAAACCCCATCGCCAATATTTACTGGCCATGAGGACTCTATGGCTTAGGTCAGGTGATTCTGCTATCTATCTATTCTTCTCCACATAGGGACAGTCCTTCACTTTCTTTTGAGATATATTCTCTATTTCAATGCTTGTGGTTTGAGAACTGAGCCTTCTTCCTATAATGTAGGTGTGGCTTATTAGTTCATCTGATCCTTCTAGCCATATTGCCGAGATCAACTGAGGGAATAAAAATCAACCAGAATCCTGCAGAACTCACCCTAGTGGAGTAGCCAGGATGGAGACATGAGGTTGGGGTTGGAACTGGGGAATCAATGGACCTAGAAACATCTCTATGAATTAGTAAAAATTAGGCCCTCTGCTCATCAGAATCCATGTTTCTCTTCTGGAAAACTATTATTATGCTCTTCTGATTTTGTAAGTACAAGATATTTTACTGTCACCTTCCATAAAACTGTACTGTGATTCATACGCAAGTTATATCCAATATGCTTATCAGTCACCCTCAGGCTTGGTGCCTTACTACACAAATGCACACCCAATATAGCTTTATTCCATGATGGGTCCTGAATGTTTGCTGCTGGTCTGTCTGTATCTTTGAGGATGGCCCCTGTTTTGTACACTATGGAACAGGGACTTTTTTGAATCCTGGAATAAGAGACAGAGAAAAATGATGATAAGGGTGTGGTGGGGTTGGTGTGTGATAAAAGAGAGATAGAGAGAGAGAGAGAGAGAGAGAGAGAGAGAGAGAGAGAGAGAGGGAGAAAAAGATGAATGGACAGCAATGACATGGATGTGGAGAGAGGAAGAACCAAAGGAGAGAGAAGTTAGAATCAGAGACAGACAAAGACACACATAGAGAAAAGCACAAAATGACAGACAGACAGAAAGGCATTCCATTGATGTACACAAGTGCTCCAGATGCAGGCACACTTAAAGGATTGCTTCTGCTATTTTCCATTTACATGGTAGTTTCTTTCTATTGTTTGATATCAAAACCAGTGTGTACTTACTCCTCTGTTGTAATACTCTAGATAAAACCGCTGAATGAAAGAGGCTGGATAGGTACTCTGTCAAGAAATAATCCTCTAAATTGGAAAAGAAGAAAAGGCGAGTGAAACAAATGAAAGGCATACTACAGGATATGAGGAAAAGAATCCCTAATTTTAAATACCAGTATCATGGGCTGTCTTTGGCAGAAACAATCCTTCTCTCTTTTTCTTTTCTTTTAATTTCATACTGTTTTATGAAATTGGTACCAAACAGTAATCAGAGAGATGAATAACAAGTTATAACCAGTTTTCACCTGTTTAGATATTCATCCATGTCCTTCTCTCCTATATCCCATGATAGTCCCATGAATATCTTTTAGCCATTTGTTACAGTTTGCTTCATTTGGTGTTCTTGCTGACTATCGTTATATCAACTTGACACAAGTTACAGTCACTGAAAAAGAGGGAACCTCAGTTGAGAAATTTCCTCCATAAGATTGTGCTGTCGGCAAGCCTGTAAAGAATTTTCCTTTTTTAAATTTATTCCCAAGGAAGGTGGGGCCTTCCATAGGGGATCGTCAAAGTCTGTCACATCATTTGGGGGAGGGTCTAGGCCCTCCTCCATGTAACTATGCTGAGAGAGTATCCCTCCATGAAGAAACGGTCTCCCAAAGTTCATTTGTGCACGAGGCATAAATACTGGCTCCACTTTCAGAGGTCCCATAGACTGCTAGGCCTCCGAACTGACACCAACGTTCAGGAAGCTTTGTTCCATCCTATGCTGATTTCCCAGCTTTATGACTGGGGTCCATGCTAGAGCCTTCATCCAGTAGCTGACAGAAGCAGAAGCAGACACCCACAGCTAAGCACTGACCATACTCTGGGAATCCAGTTGTAGAGAGGGAGAAGTGATGAGCAAAGGGGTCAAGACTTTGCTGGAGAAACCCACAGCTGACCTGACCAAGTGTAAGCATTTTCTTAGTTAGTGATTGGTATGGGAGTGCCAAGCCTACAGTGGGTGGGTCTATACCTGACAGGTGGTCCTGGGTTCTATAAAAAAGTAAGCTGAGCAAGCCACATAGAACAAGACAGTAAGCAGCACCCCTCTATGTCCACTGAATTACCTCCTACCTCCAGATTCTTGCACTGTTTTGTTACTGACTTCCTTTAGTGATGGACTATGATGTACAAGTGTAAGACAAAGTTTGTACACCAAACCATTCTTCCTCAACTTGCTTTTGATTATCGTGTTTCATCACAGCAATAGTAACCCTAAATAAGACACCCCTCTTTTCTCTATGCAATTTGTCAAAACATCTGGCAGCCAGCATTGCATATATGTCTTATTTTCCCTGACATATTCTAAGACCCTTAAGGGTATGAACTGGGGTGTTAGTTATCTCTTCATCCAGGACAATGTTTTCAATGGTGTCTGTGTCTAAGATTTGCTCACGTGTTAAGTGAATCAAAACGGGCTCTCTTACTCTGCTTCCTTTACTGGCAGTGACTAGAACCTAAAATAAATAGAGAAGAAATTTGGACACATAAATTGATCATCTCTTAGTCACTATGCATGGCTTCTGGAATATAATGGATAATAAATGCTCTTTGAAATACTCCTGCATAGAAAAAAATGGAAGTCTGAAGAAGCCTAACTTAACCTTAAGACACTTGATCAACTTTCATAAAAGCTTAGATTTGTTCTTCTGGAGTTAAGACCTTACTTTCATACCAATAACTGAGTATTGCCATAGACTTTGTGAAGGAGGTGAGAGACATTGAGCTTGATTTTGTAGCTAGACACTACCATATATGAAGTACATAGAAAGTGAAGTTTGTTTCCAGAGAACCTGCAAGTGATGCTGAGCCTGCAGAATCACTGTGCATTTAGAACTTCCAGCATTTTTATGTACTTAGCCACAGTGGACAGTCCAGCCATTCATATTAGGCAGTCTATTTTGCATTGAGTATATAAACTAAAATTTCACTGTAGAAAAAGTTCAGGTAAAACTGGCATAATCACCCTTATAGGGACAGGCTTAGCAGAAGAATGAGAATCTAGTTTTGGCCACAGAGATGATACATTATAAAACATGTCCGCAGGCTTAATTCTGTCAAAACATCCATCTTCACTCATGGCCTCACAAAAATATTTAACTGAATATGAGTTCCATCCTATTTTTGTTAT